GAATCAACAACATGAAAAAAAGATTTAAAACAGTTTGGAGAAAACAAATTATATATATAAATATTAAATATCTTAATAAAAGCAAAAAGTATAATAACTTTGTAATTTTTAACTTATATACCAAACACAATCTTTCATAATTTTGTTGTTTCTAATCTATAAAAGTATTAAATATATACTTACATTTCCAAACTATTTAATTATTAAGTAAGAAACAATTTTTCATCGCATTTCCAAAACATAATCGAACATTTCCGTTGTGTTTCCAATTTGAAATTTCTAGGAAACGATTTTCCGTCATGTTTCCAAAACAGAATTAAAGTTTCCATCGAGTTTCCAAATTAAGATATTTTAGGAAACACGTTTCCAAATTAAATATTTTTAGGAAACGCGTTTTCATGGAGTTTCCAAGAGTTTCGGTTTCCGAAACGGGAAACGCACCTCGGACGGAGTTTCCATGCAACCTATCTTTTAACACCCAAACTCAAGTACAAATTATTGCTTGCTGATAAAAAACCCACGCTGTTTTTAGTTCATATTAACTTGTTCTTATTGTTTTTGCAAATAATTTAGAAATTATTTGTAATGTTGTGTAAACAATATTTTAATGAATACAATATATAGGGAAATTTGTTGTATAATAATAATAAAAAAACATCTAATAATCGAACAGAAAACCCTAAATCCAATATAATAAATATTACAATAGTGAAAAAAAGTTAGTACAACTAGAATCGGATCATAGTTGATCACTTAGATGAGAACACATATTTTTGAACTAAGTGGTGATAGGTTAGAGGTTTCCACTTGAAAAAAAAGAACTGTTGTGTGGATGTAGACCAAAGCTCAATTTCCCTCAAAGAAAGAATTATCTAACCACTCTCATTTGGCTAACCGAAATGGTGCCACGCTTTAAACCCGTTAGAAAATATGGTGAGTGGGATTATTCGACGGCTACACTCATTCTGAAAAGTTTAGTCTTGAGATAAAAGTCCGGATTATTATTGGTTATATAAAAAAAAAACACAGTTATATAAACCCAACCGAAGCCAATATATAGAAAAACAATATCGCACAAGGGCTTGCTTCGAAATGGGCTACATCAACATAAGCTTTTAGGCCTTACTCAAGCAAATAATACTCTACGAAAGATAGGTTTTAGGCCCAATTAAAGACAAAAAAATCTTCAGTTCGATTCCGGTTATCGTCTTCGTCGGGAAATCATCCCCGACGATCAACATTTTTTTCTCTGCCGGTGTTTTGACTTGAAACTCTCTTTGATCAGATCTAAACGAAAATGGGAAATACAAAAATCATGATCTTGAACTTGGTGTGTTTAGCCTTCGTCAAAGCTCTGTCTCATGAACCAGAACTTGGTTCGGCTCGTGTCGTCTTCCAGGTTCCTCTTCTCTGCTACCAAAATCAGATATTCATTGTGTTTCGGATTAATCTGATTTGGATTTGTGTAAAAGCGATTTCAGTTTTCTTATACATCTCTCAGTCTCTTAATGGTATGTGTGCAGACTAGTTATGGGGATATCGAATTCGGATTCTATCCAACTGTTGCACCCAAGACAGTAGACCATATCTTCAAGCTCGTTCGTTTAGGAGGCTACAACACTAATCATTTCTTCAGGGTACATGAATTAAAGGCTTAAGCTTTGATGTGATTTGCATCTTTGGCCAGTTTTTGAAAAAATGTGAGTCATTTTGCAGGTTGATAAAGGCTTTGTTGCTCAAGTTGCAGATGTAGCTAATGGACGATCAGCACCGATGAATGATGAGCAAAGGAAAGAAGCTGAGAAGAAAATTGTGGGAGAGTTTAGTCATGTTAAGCATGTCAGAGGTACTCTTTCCATGGGAAGGTATATATATTTTCGATCTCGTTTAGCTCGGTTTGTGTCTATGTTTTCTATGAATGTCCCTTTTTTTTGCGTGTTTATGATGTGGAAGATTATTGCGAGGTGATGTTTTGCCTCTCTGTGGTTTTGTTGTGTGTTCTCTCGGTAGATATGAAGATCCAAACAGTGCACAATCTTCATTTTCGATGCTTCTTGGTGATGCTCCTCATCTTGATGGTCAGGTCAGCTAGCTAATTCAGCACGGACTATTTGCTTTTCTCCTTTTCAAGATTATACTAGTAATAATAAGGTTGGCGATATTCGACAGTATGCTGTGTTTGGTAAAGTTACTAAAGGAGATGAAACATTGAGGAAGCTAGAAGAAGTTCCCACTCGCCGTGAAGGGATTTTTGTAATGGTATATCTCCAAAGACAATTAGCCTTTCAAAACCATGTTTCCTTTTTTTTGTTCGGCCTAGTAAATTGTTGGATTTCATTCTTTTACCTTCTGTTTTGCAGCCGACTGAGCGGATCACGATTTTGTCGACATACTATTACGGTAAATGTAGTCAAATCCCACTCTTCTCAATTTATTTGTTAGCTAAAATATTTCTGATAACTTCTTCTCCTGACGTTTGATGCTGACATGGGACACTTCAATTATGGTTAACTACCGTCCATATCCTGAATCTCTTTAATTCAGGTCATTCATGTGTCCTTAGTGATAAGACTCAAGATTTAGCCTTTGAGCAATTGGTTCTGTTTTGGAGCATAGTAAAATTGGTGCTGCCAATTAAAAAAAAATCTGTAGTAGTACTCTTTAATCAGATATGCAGAGATCCCTTTACATGGAATCCACGGGTTTAACACTTACTAATCTTTGTTCTTAGACACTAAAATGGAGAGCTGCGAAGAAGAGAGATCTGTCCTGAAAAGAAGGCTTCAAGCATCTTTTGTCGAGGTCGAAAGACAGGTGATTGAAATATCTAATTATAGATCCGGGTTTTGAATGAGAAGGGTCTACGTTTATCGTAACATTTATCGGTCCTTTGTGTTTTGGCAGAGAATGAAGTGCTTCCCGTGAATCGGTGTTAAGACCTTTGCGAAGTAAAGAACTGTTCTTAAGGGAACAACACAAAGGTAAATGTTTGTCTAGTGAAAAAATCAAAATCCGACATGTTTGTTTTCGTTTGCTATTAAAAACTCAGAATGGTAGACAGATCCTTCATTAGTTTTTTATAATCAGTGTGTGAGAGAGATTGTAGTTAAGTTGAGACATTGAGCATGGTTTGTTTCCTTCATGGTCTGCAAAATCTGATTCAACCGGGACAAAATCCCAGGTTCTGAGCACCAAATAGTCAAATTATGATTTTAGTGAGAAATTGTAACAACACATGTGCTCTGCTTTTGTGCACTTCTCTCTCTTAAAAAACAAGGCATGTCTCTCAATTCACACCAAATAGTCTTTTCAAATTTTCGTTGACTTTTGTCTCTTTCTCATTTTTTGTTTGGTCACTTTCCTCTTAATTTTTCATCAAACTCTCTTTTGTTTTTGGTCTGAAAAATCCAACATTACTACCTCTTCTGCAATAAAGGAGATGGCTTGTTATGTCTGTTGTTTAGGGTTTATAAAGGATTTGTTAGAAAAAGAATTAGTCCCAAAATCTTAGGAAAGGGTCATATGATATTAAATTAGAGCCTATGGGTTAAACAAGGCTTGTGTTGGGCTGTGTTGTGGTGGACAACTCTAGGTGACCCACCACTACAGTCTACAGTACTTGTTTAGCCCATTGGTTGCAACTTAAATAAAAGTTCATTTTCCAGGTTTATACAGTTTAATAGTCAAGTCTACAACGAAAATAAAATAAAATGTGACACATGATTTAATTCAGAATTCGATTCTTTGACCAATGCATTTTTTGCGGTATCAAGTTCCATTAGTGACTTGATTTTTTGTTCACATGATCAGAGAAACTAACCACGTGAGTTGAGTATCAATTGTTAATAACAAATGGCTGTGTTAGGAAGTAATAACATTTCCTTATTTTAGAGGTGAAATAGAGGTGGGTTGGAGAAGATTTTTA